CTTGCCGAACTTCTTTCTGGGCTCAGCTCCCCGTCTTTGACTTCATAGATTCTGATTCCAACCAGTTTTTCTTCCTTTGTTCAGGAGCCTCTGACCAGGGTTGCTACCAGTCGGCCATCTTCCCAGAATCCTCCTATTTTCAGGTTTTACATTTAAGTCTTTAATTGGTTTTGAGTTGGGTTTTATATATGGTGAGAGGTAGGGGTCTAATCTCATTCTTCTACATGGGAATATCCAATTTTCCCAACATTATTTACTGAAGAGACTATATTTTATCCAATGTGTGTGCTTGGCACCTTTGCCAAAACTCAGGGGGCTGGACACAACTGCCTCCTCCGTGCTGTTGTCCTCCCTTGCACTCACAGCTTTCTGCCCCTCCTTCCCATGGCTCTCAAGGGACTATGGCAAATCCTCATATGAGACAGATCAAAATCAAGGCTGGCATGGTGAAGCACTTGGTTAAACAAAAAGTGATGTATGAAAAATCCTGACCCTAAAGATACGCCTCACACTAAAGAGAGCCCAGGCGGTGCTCTGGACTCACTGCCCCACTCCAGCTATATTGAGAAGGCTAATAAAAGCTTTTGCCACTGTGTGGGAGCTGAGCTAACATCTGGTCAGTCTCACTTCTCTTTTTCCCTCTATTAAAGTCTCTCCTTGTCCCTGGATTAGCCTCCTCTCCTTTCTTGCAGCCCCTCACTCTGGTTCTATGCCAGAACCTCTCAGAGATCCTGCAGAGTCCCAGTTGATGATCCCAGGCTGTCAGAAAAGATTGGAAGCTGCATATACTGATCTTCAGCAGATGTTAGAAAGTGAAAAAGACTTGGAAGAAGCTGATGAATATAAAGAAGCACATGTAGTAGTGGATTCAAAGAAGTTAGAAGCCTGTAAGTTTTCTGTGTAGGGTGCTTTTGCATAAAATCCTGGGGTCCCTTCTATAATCCATTGTTTTTAACCACTGCCATGTGTTCAAGTATTATGAGAATGTGATTTTTATGAGATTGCAAATATTTTATCTTTGCCAATGTAGTGTCAAATAAATGAATTTATCGAATAAAATTCTTTATTTCATACCTTAAAAAAAAAATCAGTTGCCTGTTGATGCCTGAATTTATTTCTGAATTCTGTATTCTGTCCCATTTGCAGTGCAATGCCTCCAAATGTTTTCTTTCTTTTTTTTTTTAAGACAGGTCTCATTCTGTCACCCCCACTAGAGTGCAGGGGCATCATCATAGCTCATTGCAGCCTCTGACTCCTGGGCCCTCAAGCGATCCTCCTGCCCCAGTCTCCCCAGTAGCTGAGACTACAGGTGCCCCCCACCACACGCAGCTAATTTTTCTATTTTTAGTAGAGATGGGGTCTTGCTGTTGCTCAGGCAGTTCTCAAATTCCTGACTACTGCATGTTAGCCTCCGAGTGCTGGGATTACAGCTGTGAGCCACTGCACCTGCCCAGCTGTTGTTTTTGCTCACGGTTGCTTTGGCTATTTGGGGTCTTTTGTAGTTCCATATGAATTTCAGGATTTTTTCCCCTATGTCTATGAAGAATCTCATTGGTATTTTGATAAGGACTACATTAAATCTGTAGCTTGCTTTGGATAGTAGGGACATTTTTATATTACTTCTTCTAATGGACACAGGATATCTTTCCATCTGTTTCCTCTTCAATTTCTTTCACAAAAGTTTTATAGTTTTCAGTGTGGGGGTCTCTTACCTCCCTGGGTAAGTTTATTCCTAGGCATGTAATTTTTTGGTAACTATTATAAATGGAATTGTTTTCTTGATTTCTTTTTGGAGAGTTCACTATTAGCTTATAGAAATGCCACTAATTTTTGTGTTAATGTTGAATCCTAAAATTTTAGTGAATTCATTTATTAGTTCTAATAGTTTTTTGGTGAAGTTCTTAAGGGCAGACATTGATCACCTTACAGCAACAAGATATGCTCTGGACTAGAAGTTCCTGGAAGCTTTAAGTTCTAGAAAATCTTATCTCAATCTCTCATCATTACACACAACCTTGGAGGATCCAGGGGAAAGTACAAGACAGCAGGCATGGAATGATGATGGCACTGTGGAGGCCACCATCCATGTCCTACAGCAAGGGGTGGGCAGTGGTAGAGGTGGGGGCTGCCATCTAGGTTCCTCCCTACTACTTTTCCAGCTCATCTTCTGTCACAGCTGCCTGTGCCTACCATGGCAGGTCAGTGTGGCATCCCCAGACTGGTGGCAGGATGCAGGATGGAGAAGACTTCTGTCAGGCCCCAGTCACAGCACACTAGAGAGAAACTTCCAGAGTCCTCACCCCCTCACATGTGCCACTCAGGGTCCTTCAGCAGGAGACACAGTGGCAATCCTAGGAGGCAGTCTTTGTATTCAGAGCAATCTAGAAAGCTCACCTTAAAAGTCTGTGGTGAACTGCACTGTGCCTCAAGCAACTCAGGACAGCTAAGTGGCATGCAGTCACCCAGGTGTCCAGGATTGAACAGGGTCTTAGAGGACATCCAGGCTAATGCTCTGGTCAATACAGCCCCATCATTTATCAGTTCTCAGAAACCTAAACTCCTTTGCCAGAGCCTGGCACCAAGCAGATGCCCAGCCGGACACAAGTAGCATGAAACAATGACTCTGTCAGCCAAGTGCTCCTCAGACCAGGGCAACTCCCCACACCGGGGGTTTCCCTCATTGTTCCTCATCTCCTCTTCCCTTGGGGATGGCAAGGAGTATCATCTGTTTAGGCTGGAACTAAGCACACAGGAGCTGCTCAGTAAATGTTGTCCTGTGGCCAACCAGTCTCAATTGTGACAGCTAAAATATGAGCCCACATTAAGGAGAAACCCACAGGGAGGTCCATGGAATGGAAGCCAGGCCAGCCAGGGCAGGCCCACCCCCAAGGGAGGGCCATGGCATTGCCTTGATTCCTCATCCTGAGGCCGGATAGCATAGTTGCTTTGTAAAGTCACCCAAGTCCTAACTTGTTGCCAGTGTACCAGTCCATCTGCACCCCCAGGGATGATGAGTGCAACTTCCCCTGCCACCTGTGTCAGAGCCCGCTCACCTGTGGAAGTTCTCTGTAAATGTGGGGCCGTGTCCAGACCAGTCCCCAGGCCTGTGCCATCATATGCTGAACACACACCAAGCTTGATGGGCACCTGAGGAGTGTGCCCTGCACTGGTCTGTTTTATACCCCAAGTCCTGAGGGCCTTTCTGAAAAGGAACCTTTTGAGTGGGGAGGCAGAAGGGTACACAGTTCTGAGTATGTCTAGACTCCCCATCTAGATGGCTGTCTTGATATTTAAAACCCCACCTTCCTCCCTTTGGTCACATCTCATTAGGTCTGGCTTCTCTCTAACCCTAGGCTTACCACGTGATACCACACTCTTTCCAAAATTTCTGCTCACCTGCCACCAGGCCTCCAAATCCAGGAGGGGAGAGGAGCACAGGGGCAATGTGGGCATGGAGCACACACAGGGTTCTCCGTGATTCATGTCATCTTTTATTACACAAAATAAAGTCCCACCTCTGTTGCACATTCACGCTTCCTACAAGCTAGCTTTTAAAAATCCCTAGGGGCACAGTGCCATCTGTTTCTGACTGTCCTTGCAATGATGTCATGCCACAGTTGTAGCCAGAGTCCTCTCAAAGGACAAGGGCAGATGTGGCTGCCTCATGTGAGCTGCACACAGTGTGCTCCCAGCCTGCCCACTGGAGGGGTGGCTCCCATCATCATCTGGACCATGACTGCTGGCGACAAAGTGGCAGCATGTGTCATCGCCTTCACCAGCCCATCTCCAGCAGCACAATCAGTCCTCCCAGCTTGTCCTCTGGGGACCAGCCATCATGGCGATGTGGTGGCACCATCCCCAGGCAGCCGACCATCCTGGGCTTCTCTTTGGGCAGGCCTGAGCCAGGGCTTTAGGGGAGCTCTGTGTCCATGGTATAAATCTGAATGAGATCAGACACAATATTATCAATGATTGCCTTGGTAAGGTCGTCACTAAATACCTAGAAAGAAGAAGGAAAAGGTTCCGATTAGACTCCCTTTGTGTTAAACAAGGCCCTAGTCACTAAGCACAAAATCGCATTTCATGGGTGGGAAAGGGAAACAGGGCTTATCTATCCAGGGTGGTGGTGGTGGCTCTCCTGCCAAGTCAGTTCAGTTCTAGCCTGTTAAGGCAAATCAAAGACTTCATGAAGCAGAGAAGATACCAAATGGAAGAGGCCTTCGTGATCAGACAGGAGAGGTGACTCATTCAAGATCACATAGCAAATTGGTGACAGAGCTGGGCCCAAAACACTGGTTCTTAACTCCTGCCTACAGCTTTCCCAGGACCAGGGTCTCCAGGAATTTTGGCAAGAGGGGTCTCACTTCTAGAAATAGGCAGCTGAGTAACCTGGACCCCATACCCACCATAGCCCATCCCTGAGGAGTACATGGACCTGTTTTACAGCCTAGACTGGACATCCAGACCACTATGTGCAGGAATGCTCACAAACTGTGAGGTAATTCCTCAGGGGCCCAAATTCAAGACATGTGCAGCAAGAGCCAACCCATAAGCCTGGAGTCCACACCCTGTACCTGCCAAGGGCAGGTCTGGACCCTGCCCACTCCTGGAGGATAATCTCCAACCTAACAAGAGCATCATGGTTCAACAGGGCCTACAACCCCACCAGGCAGTCTACACTAATGACAGGATTTATGGGGGCAGCCTGGGCCACATGCCATCAGCAAGACCTCTGGGTGGCTGGAGCTAGTGTAACCTGGTCAGCGCCACAGCGGGCTCCATGACCCACTCCCAGTAAGGAGCCTCTCTAGTTGGCAATACTCTGCTTGCTGTCACCTACTGCTGCTCACACATAGCTGCTAGGAGAATTCTGAACCATCCATTGTACATCCCTGGGAGAGATACCCAGAAGCTGTCGCCTGGCCTCCCCAGCCCCTGCCCTGTATACCTTGTACCTCTGCTGATTTTAACCCATGTCCTTTCACTGGAGCAAACCATGACTGTGAGTGTGACGGCTTTTCTGAGTGCTGAGTCCTCCCAGCACATCACTGAGCTTGAGGGTACTATTGGGGCCCCCATGATAAGGGAAATAAAAAGCAAAGCAACAGCCTTTGGTCAGATGTTGTAGCTGCCCTGTGCCAGGAAGTTGATACCTGAGGAACCAAGGGAAACAAGGTCAAGGCCTTGGGCTGAGCCAAAGCAAGAACAAGACCTACATCCATCCCTTCTGAACCCCCAAACAAACCTAGGTTCCTCCCCAACCTACAACCTCAGATGGGAGATGGGGACCTAGAAACCCTCCAAGCCCTAACTCCGGAATCATGGTTGTCTCACACAGGGCTCTGGGTGGAAACTAATATTCCAGAAAAGACAGGCTTGTGTGTACACCATCTATGTGCTCCCAGAGACATCAAGATGAGAAACAACATTAAAAAGCATCCAGGGCCAAAGGTAGAAGCAGCCTGTGTACCCACGGAGGGAAGAACAGACAAACGAAATGCAGCCTCCCCAGGAAGGGGGTGTAATTCAGCCTTAACGAGGAAGGAGAAACTGGCATGTGCTCCAGCATGGCTGACATGACAGCGTGCTCAGTGACACGAGCCAGTCACAGGACAAACATTGTGCGGTACAGCAGATGAGAGCAGCCAGGCTGTGCACTCAATGTAGTTAATGTGGGACATTTTATGCAATATAGAGTCACCACTTTTTTTTTGAGACAGAGTCTCACTATTGAGGGTCACTATGTCGCCCTCAGTACAGTGCCATGGCGTCACAGCTCACAACAACCTCAAACTCTTGGGCTTAAGTGATTCTCTTACCTCAGCCTCCCAAGTAGCTGGGACTACAGGTGCCTGCCACAATGCCTGGCGATTTTTTGTTGCAGTTGTCATTGGTGTTTAATGGCCTGGGCTGGGTTCGAACCCACCACTCTCGGTTTATGTAGCTGGTGCCATAACCACGGTGCTACAGGCGCTGAGCCAAGTCACCACTATTACAAAGAATAGTTCATGGTGGGGGACAATCCTGAGACACCAGCAGAAAGGACAGAGCCTTAAGTCCTAGGAGAAGACGCTGTTTGGGGACATCAACTTCTGTTTGTAGGACAAAGACTAGCAATGGCTGGAAATAAGCAAGCACTTCCTATTTTCAGAAAGGCCTGAAGGGCACTCAGCAGAGCTCTGGGTGCCACATCCTATGACATCGTGTGATAACCAGCAGCATTTCTGAGCCCCCTACCAACCCTACTCCTCTGGCAAGTCAGGGTCAGCATCTCCTGTAGCAGGAGCTGGCGTAGCGTCTCTGCAACTGCACCAAGTGTGAGGTCTCTAAGGCAGCAAGTTATTCCAGCTTTCCTGCTGAGCCCCTGGCAGACTAGTGACAACAGAGGCAGCTGCTACAAGATGTGATTGCCCATGAGCACGAGGAGAGGTGTGTCACAAGGCAGGCCTCTGGCCCTCATGCCTCACAAGCCCCCAGGCTGTAAGAAGAGCTACCCCAAAAGAGGTAACTTCTTCCCAATTCGAGAATCCCGGGGGAGTTTGTGCTGCCCAGAAAACAACTTCCTGGTGGGGCTGCGTGGGGCTATTTGGGCTCATGTTCCTGTCTGGATACCTGAACATGGGACAGAGAGGTGGCATTGGCATACTAGTGTAGCTTATGAGCAAGCAAAGGCAGACAGAGTAGAAAGAAAGAGGTGGAGGACAGCCAGCACCAGGGGAACAAGTGACAACGCTGTAGGTCCCAGCAGCTAAGAGGCCAGGACTGTCATACCAACCAGATGTCCTCATAGAGTTTCTGTCACTACCAAATTCCAACCACTCAAGGACACTGCAGTCACACTGTCTGAAAGTCCCTGAGAAGCCTAAGCACGGAGCCATACTGCCTGTCCACACAGATGCTCTCCCCGTCCAATGCTGCCCAGTGGCTGTACATCTGGCCTGCAACAAGAACTACAGATGCCTGTCTTCAAAGCTACTAGTACTTGCCAGCTCTAGGCACAGATGTGGCCTGGGCACTTATCACTGAGGGTGTAGAGGATTAGACAGGCCATAAAGAAGGGAAAGCAGCAGAAGCCGGGGCCTTCCACAGGGCAGGCAGCACCTACCCCCATGCAGGATCCAGCAACTCACACCTTGTAAGTGTGAGTGAGGTAAGGACTCACCCTGTCACCTCTCTGCCAAGTAGATCCACCATCCCTCTCACTTAGCTATTACCTACCCACCCAACAACACCTGTCACCTCTCCAGCATACCTATCCCTCTCAGCTGTCCATCCAGCTATCTGTCATCTGCCCATATCCCCATGGAGTTCTGTCACGTGCCACCTATCCTTATCAACCTGTCATCCGCCCCAAGGTCCCACTCACTCTAGTACAAGTGCCTGAGTCCCCAGGCTCAGCCCAGCCCTGCCCCGGGACTTCCAGCTTCCCCCACCACAGACCACATCTTAACAGGAAATTTTCAAGCTTCAAGATCCCAAGTAGCCTATACTTTTCTTGCTGAATTATTAATAAGAAACAAGGACCTCTGAAAGGAAAAGGGCACAGTCCAAGACACCAAGCGGTTACTTCACCTGCCACCATGGCTTCTCAGCCTCAGCTTCAGCAGGCACCTCAACTCCATAGACCTGCAGGGCCAGGAAGAGCACTGCCACAGCTATGTGCTGAGCCTGGAAGCGGAGGCACAGCCCCCCGTGGTAGCTGTCCCGCAGCAGGGCCCAGGCAGTGATGGCAATGGGGGTCCGCTGCCAGCTGTAGCGGTTCAGCCAGTTCTTGAGGGAAAGCAGGTAGTGGAGCAGGTACTGCAAAGACACGCATGTCAGCCACTCTGCCTCTGCATTACTGACAGCACCGCCATCCCTCCACCCACTAACTACTACATCCAAGCTGTCATAATCATGTACCACCCTGTTCAAACCCTCTGATGGCTTCTAGGTCACTTAGGAAAAAGCTCCAGTGCCTTCTCCTGGCCTTGTCTCCCAAGGCCCTTGTCCCACCCTGTTGCCATGTTTGAATACACAGGGACACCCACCCCAGAGCCTGCCCACTCCCATCCTCAGGAGCAGCCCCTGGGAAGCCCTCACCAACAGAGAGCCCTGCTCTCGCACCAGGAAATCGTGCAGGGCCTGGTGCTGTGAAGACCAGCGCCTCCTTCTGCAGGGAAGAGGTGCTGAGCTCCATGTACCCAGCCTGCCACCCAGGGCACCTGCTTCCAGGAGGACTAGACCACAGCTATATCTTCCCAATTAGTGCCAAGAACCCACAACAGTGCCGTCCTCGACCACAACACCTTAGTGACTGCCAACCCAGCTGTCAGCTCCCACTGTCAGAACATAGCCACTCTGCCTGCATGTCACACAATACAGAGAAGACATTGGGAACTCCCCAGATGGTCCTGAAGACATATGTGTATGTGGGACGCTAGCATGCCATACAGCAGTGGTTCTCAACCTGTGGGTTGCAACCCCTTTGTAACAATGAAAATACATTGTGGCATTAGGAAGGTTGAGAACCACAGCCATAAAGGAAGGCTCCATCTGTTACTTTCTTCCATCCTTAGGCCCTAGCCCTGGCCAGAGAAGGGAAGGGGCCAGCAGGCTCCCTGGATTGGTTCCCAGTCCTGGCATGGATCACACATCCTCCAAGACCCGAGCACCGTCCTCTGAGCCTTGTCGCCTTGATGACACTACCTGGAAGCCACCAGTCCAGTTCCCACCTTCCCCTGGGATACTAACCAAGCATTATGCCAACCAAAAAGCTACTGTGCAAACATCTGGAACCAGAAGCTCCCAGGGCTTAGGAAAGAAGTGTGCAGAGCTGGAAGTGACATAAACAGCAGCAGGAAGGATCTTTGTGTGACAAACTTGTTTTGGTACCTGGACTGTGCTAGTGGCTACATGAAAGCAGACGTGTGATAAAACTGTATACAACTACACATCCATACTGTGCAAGTGAAGCTGGGGGCCCCAGCAGACTGTCAGCATCGACACCCTGACTGTGACACTGTATGACACTTTTGCAAAGTGTTTCCACTGGGAGACTGGGTAAAGGCACATGGGATGGATCTGTGCTATTTCTTATAACTGCAGGAGGGTCTGTACTTATCTCAATTAAAATTTCAATTAAGAACAGAAGTCCTGGCCTGGAGCCCCAACCCACAACCAACTGCATGTGGAGCTGGGGTAACCACAGTATCACATCAAGTGCTTGTAAGACTTGAACTTTCCCTCCTGCTGCTGTTTGAAATGGTTCTTCTGCTGAGACTTGCATGTTCCCAAAAGTTAAAACTATGGTACTTAACTCAAGCGCCTTAGCTTTCCTTATAGTTTTCTAAGCACAACTGAGCTGGATACAAGCTCTGAGGTCTAATAGCAACTCACAGGGACAGAGACTCTGGCAGATTGTGAAACCAGCCCCACTTCCCTGAGGCTCAGCGAGCACATGCCCCATGTGAACCACGGGATGAGCAACAGTTCCATAGAGCCCCATAGTTCCAGTATGTAGCCTTAGACAAGTGGCCAAAAAGGCAAAAGCTGGAATGAGCACTGCTTGAGAAGACCCACAGGAGCCAGGCGGGTGAGGCCAGCCGACCCAGCCACTGCATGTGGAGTCAGAAGTCTCAGTTCACCAGGGCCACCTTGCTCTCCTCACCTGCTAGGCTCTCAAGCATTAGGGGTGTCACTTTCAGGACCTGGAACAAAGAGCATGGCTCCCCAGCATGTACCTTGTGAGGGTGCTGGAAGGAGACCTGGAAGCGCAGAACTCTCAGCATGAGGAGCTCGCATTGCACGACACTGTCCCGCAGCTCCCAGAAGCGGGAGTCCAGCTCTAGAGGTTCACTGCTGGGGTTGAAGTACCTGTGAATAAATGACAGCATGTACAGCCACCAGAGATGTTTCCCCTGAGAAACAAGATGGCTTGAACTGGTTGAACCCTTAAGTCACGTGATGTACAGATACAAACTGCAGTGTCCTTCTGTAGTAGATGAACACAAGATCATTTTATTTGTATTTTTATAAGATAATTCGCCATTTATACATCTAGGGTACAGAATGAAAACAGGAATGGAGAGTTTTCAGAGATTCTTTCTGCCAAGCTAGGAGATCTATGGTTAGGTTCTCAGAGTTTCCCAGCAGCATGGCCCCCAAATGCCAGTCTCCGCTCCCACCTCAAAAGAAGAAACCAAGACTGCCTACTGCTCCCAGACCGGAGGACAACTTCGGGCTCTCAGGGATTGCCAAAAAAGAAAGAAAAATAATAGCAGGAAGCAACTGAACATATTGATGAGGTATAAAATGAAATAGACAGACTTAATGAACAAGCCAGTGAGGAGATTTTGAAAGTAGAACAGAAATATAACAAACTCCGCCAACCATTTTTTCAGAAGAGGTCAGAATTGATCGCCAAAATCCCAAATTTGGGGGTAACAGCATTTGTCAACCATCCACAAGTGTCTGCGCTGCTGGGGGAGGAGGATGAAGAGGCACTGCATTATTTGACCAGAGTTGAAGTGACAGAATTTGAAGATATTAAATCAGGTTACAGAATAGATTTTTATTTTGATGAAAACCCTTACTTCGAAAATAAAGTTCTCTCCAAAGACTTTCATCTGAACAAGAGTGGTGATCCATCTTCAAAGTCCACTGAAATCAAATGGAAATCTGTCAAGGATTTGACGAAACGTTCCAGTCAAACACAGAACAAAGCCAGCAGGAAGAGGCAGCATGAGGAACCAGAGAGCTTCTTTACCTGTTTCCTGACCATTCTGATGCAGGTGCAGATGAATGAGGAGAGGTCATCAAAGAAGATATTTGGCCAAATCCATTACAGTACTACTTGGTTCCTGATTAGGATGATGAAGAAGGAGAAGGAGAAGAAGATGATGATGAAGAAGAAGGTTTGGAAGATATTGATGAAGAAGGGGATAGGGATGAAGGTGAGGAAGATGAAGATGATGATGAAGGGGAGGAAGGAGAGGAGGAGGAAGGAGAAGATGACTAACAGGACACTGATGGATTCCAACCTTTTTTAAAATTTTCTCCAGTCCCTGGGAGCAAGTTGCAGTCTTTTTTTTTTTCCTCTTGTGCTCAGTCGCCCTGTTCTTGAGGTCTCTTTTCTCTACACCATGATTCTCAACTTATTTGGGGGGGAAATACCTTGAGCAGAATACAATGGGAAAAGAATCTCTACTCGTTTCTGTTCCAAATTCATTTTTATCCCTTCCTGTCTCAACAAAAACTGTATGGAATCAACCCCACCGAGCTCTGTGGGAAAAAAGAAAAACCTGCTCCCTTGGCTCTGCTGGAAGCTGGAGGGTGCCAGGCCCCTGTGTAGTAGTGGATAGAATTCTATTTCTAGCTTTTTCCCTCCTTTCTCTGTATATTGGGCTCAGAGAGTACACTGTGTCTCTATGTGAATATGGACAGTCAGCATTTACCAACATGTATCTGTCTACTTTCTCTTGTTTAAAAAAAAAAAAACTTTAAAAAATGGGGCATAGAAGGTCAGCAGAGGGTGGGTTTGAGATGTTTGGGTGGGTTAAGTGGGCATTTTGACAACACAGCTTCTCCTTTGGCATGTTTAATTGTGATGTTAACTGCGACATCCTTGCAGTTTAAATGACACTTTTAAAATAAATTCTCTCCTAATGATGACTTGAGCCCTGCCACTCAAATGGGAGAATGAGCAGAACCTGTAGGATCTTATTTGGAATTAACATTCTCTATTGTAATTTTGTTCTGTTTATTTTTAAATTTTCTTTTGTTTCACTGGGAAGGAAAGATGATGCTCAGTTTTAAATGTTAAAAGTGTACAAGTTGCTTTGTTACAATAAAACTAAATGTGTACAAAAAAAAAAGAAAACAGGAATGGACAGAAGAGAGAAGCTGGCTCCTAGTTTTAGCCCAATGGGCCATCCACTATCAGTCAGCAAGATGTTAAGTGCAAGGGCTGGCTCCTGGTGATGGCTCCACAGGAAGTGGAAACCAGCACACCCAGCCAATTGTGCCTCCTGTCACAGTCAACCTGGTGCTAGAGAGTCTTTGTCACCTCAGGGACAATGCCCAGGACTCTTACTCTGGGCTCAGGGAAAGTGTTTAAACATAACACAGAAATGATGTGTTCTGAAAAGTGAGCATTTTTCGTTATTAAATTCTGAGATTGTCTTTCCTTCTTCCCATATCTTTCTGTCCTACTTCACTGCACACACCCACTACACTCCCACCTACACAAGACCCCCAAGATGCACATGAACAGGATTCACACTCATCGATCAAAACTCTCTGCCAATGACTCATCCCTCCCAGCTGCTCACTCATTTTCCAATCTCCCCACAGAACCCCCTCACCCCTCGTGTCCCTAATTAGGGATCCCCCCATATGTCCCCTTCCATCACTCCCCTGCTGAGGACCAGGCAGTTATGGGTGGACACCACCTGCCCTCCTTCAGTCCTCCTGTCTTTGTCTTAGTCTCTCCAGCACACTGGGACCCTGACATACTTTTTCCATTACCTGTTAATTTAAAAATCAGCAAAACAAAATAGTCTTCTTTCCTAATGACTAGAGCTCCTGGAGCGGCCCATGACACAAAGCTAGTCAGTAACTTACCACAGGTCACATGGCTTTCTCTTGGGCCCCCAGGGTCTTGGGGAAGCCCACCAACTAAATGGGTGCCTACATCCTCCCCCCGAAGTCAACTGCTCTGTCCTAGCTGTGCCACCACGTGCCCACAGCAAGGCAAGAGAGGATCCTGAACAACTGAGTCTTGGTTTCTCTGATCAGCAAAATAGGATGACCACCTAGCTGGGCCCACAGCCTCCCTGTGCACGTGCTCAGACTGGGAGGAGGTTCTCTCAGGTATGTTCTGGGCCTGTGGCAGCCCAGTCTCCTCGGAAATGCTTGCTGAACTCTGCCTGCCCAAGCCCCACACCACCCTTCATGCAGCCTTCAGGCTTTGCTCCCACAGCCCCCTGGGTTCCTGATACTGGGCTCCTCCCACTCTGGTTGCTAGTGTTTCTAGCCCTGGTTGGAGCCCATCCAAGTGCCTCTTTAAGCTTGATTGCTGAGCCCTGGAGAGCAGGGCCCAGTGGGAGCCTCTGGGATAGAAACCAGGAAGCCCTGTCAAATGCCTTGGCCCAAAAGCCATTACCTGTTGGACACATTGATGATGTCACGGGTACGCAGGTGCTGCTCCTCCACTTTGCCCGCCAAGTAAATGGAAGACATGGCAACCAGGTAAGGATCATAGGTGTCCAGGTTGGTCTCACAGAAGAACTTATGGTAAATGGTGCAGGCAGTGGCAATGGGAATGGATCGCATCCCCAGCTTGACTCCTACACAAAAAGAGCAGGCAAGAGGGTACTTCAATCCCACACTCACCCCTGTGCCAATGAGGAGAGCTGCTGCCACAGGCCCTGCACAGGCGAGACTGAGAACTCTGTCTTTCACTAGGTCCCCAGGGCTCTCAGACTCTGAGAGGCTACCAAAGTCTGTGGGGAGGGTGTTCAGATGCAGTGTCCTGGGGTTCTCAGATTCTGCTCTTCTGCCAAGTCCCTAGGTCATGCCCAGGCCTAGGACCTGAGGGGTCTAACTACCACTGGTATATCACTTCTGCACAAAATCTTAGAAAGGACCATACACTGTTGTGTGTCTGGTTTCACCTTAGCAAGCATTTAACTAGAGGGCACCCACCCTGCAGCTCACCTAACCCAAATCCTAAGACAGCAGAGGTAAAAGACCTCTGAGCCATCAAACAGATGCCACCAGTCCTGAAGTCACAGATGATACTCAGCATTGGCGTCCTGGTCCATGAATTAGAAAAAGACAAGCAAAGCAAGCAGGGTGACTGCTAAGGGCAACCACACGCAGAGCAGAGGAAACAACATTCATTGCCATGGCCGGGCACCAAAGAAGAAGACCAGCACAATGAGAAGTAGACAGAGCATAAGTGGGTTTATTCAGGGGTGAAAGCCCACCCCCACCCCAGTCCCGAACAGCTCCTAAGGAAATCATTGCAGTGGGTCACAGAACCAAAAAAAAGTCTGGACCACTAGGATTAACAAGAGAGAGTTAAGTGGCATCCATATAGAGGAAGGGGGAGAGCAACCAACAATCACCCATTAAGATTATGTTCACCATACTCTTCTAAGAAGGTGGCCTAGTTCACTATGGCTTCTGTAATACATCACCACAAATTCAGCAGCTTAACACAACACACACTTATGTTCTCACAATCCTGGAAATCTGAAGTCTGAAATGAGCCGTTAGGGGAGTAAGATCAAGGTGTCAAAAGGGTCTTATAGAAGCTTGGGGGACATTCTGTTCCCGTGTCTTTTCTAGCTTCTAGAGACTGGCCATGTTCCTTGGCTCATGGCCCCTTCCTCCATCTTCAAAGCTAGTGGTGTAGCATCTTCTAACTCTGCTTTGTTGTCATGTGGGATTGTCCTCTGACTGACTCCTGCCTCTCTCTTACAAGGATGGGTCTGGTTACACCAGGCCCACCCAATAATCTAGAATAATCTCCCCCATCTCAAGGTCCCTAATGATTTCTGCAAAGTCTCTTTTGTTATATAAAAATGACATTTGCAGGGTGGCACCTGTGGCTCAAAGAAGTAGGGCACCGGCCCCACATGCCAGAGGTGGTGGGTTCAAACCCAGCTCTGGCCAAAAACTGCAAAAAAAAAAAGACATTTGCCCGTTCCAGGGATTAGCACAAGAACACCTTTAGGGGATCAGTATTTAGCATCCTACAAAGGGCAAAGGTACATGAAACACATTAATAGAGAAGTCCCAGGAAGTGACATTTAAAGAGCTTTTTGCATTTCAAGATCTCAAGTTCAGTTATGCAGGCAATTCTACATGGGAGCCTCATTCCAGTAGGTGGCAGGTAAAGTGGTACCACTGACATGACTCTCTGAGCAGGTGGATGGCAGCAGCTGATGGGATACTGCTGTCGTTAATACACTTCGTGACTCTTTGCAAATTAAAGTAAATGTTTACTTTATTTAGATTACTGGATTAGGGGTCCTGCACCATCTCCTCAGACCCTCTGTGCTCTCTGGCTTGAAAGCACACTTGCTGGATGCCCCGCAGAGTGCACAGCAAGCAGTAAAAGTAGAAAATGACTGTCCGCCAGCCAAACGAGATACTGTGTCTCTCCAGGAATTGTGGTTTCTTTGCCCTGCCTTGGAAACAGAGCACCGATCACCACTGTGGACACCTGGCAGGGTTCCAGACTGGACCCTGGGTCCTAGGTGTAGATGTGGCCAGAACCACCGTACAACGCGCTCCAAGAGACTCCAGCTCACCAAGTGCCATACTGTCTCCCAGTACAGTTCACAGGGACAGGGGTGTGGCAGAGAGCGTAGCAGACTACACGGAGCTGCCTGGCTTTGGAGGCCTGCCCCTAACCACGCCCTGTCTTTGGGCCTGCACCCTTGTCTGTGCAATTGGGGCACCAGCGTCTACCTGAGGGCCCAATGCCTAGTGAACGGGGAGAGGAGGAAAGGCAGAGGTCCGCAGTCCGGAGCCGAACCTCCCAGGCCCCGCTAAGGCGGTGTTGTCCGGAAGGCCTGGACTCTTCCCTCTGCCTCGGCCGCGCCTGCCCCAGGAAGCGGCCCCCAGCACCGCCGGCCGCGGTCCACCAGCCTGGCGCCGTGGTCGTGCGGCTCCGTGGCTCCGGCCTCCACGTCCCGTCCGCGCCGCCCTGTGCCAGTCGCGGTTACCTGCCTCCATGATGAACCTCGTCACGCGGAAGTGCACCCTGGCGTCCGGCGCCAGCCGTCCCTCGGGCCCCTGCACCGCGGCTCCTCCGCTGCCGCTCTCCGGGATAGCAGCCTCCATGAGGTCCGTCCCACGTCTCCACCTCCCCGGGTCCGGAGGAGAAGCGCCTCCGCCGCACCTGGGCCGGCTGCGGGGGCAAATCGCGGCGGGCTTGGCCACCGCGCCCCGCCCCTCCCCTGCCGGCAGGGCCCTCCCAGACCTGGCTGGCCCGGCCCCGGGAGCCAGGACGCGGCGGCGCGACAAACGACTATCCGGCCAGCGCGCAAGCGCAGGCGCAGGCGCAGAGGCCACAGCCGGTGACCGGTGTGTGCTGGACAGCCACTGGACAGCATATGCCACCACCCACCCAGGCGCCTGTCAGGCCTCCGGAGACACTTCCCGACCCACTGAGCAGACACGACCACCGAGCGCCTTGAGTCCGCCCCGGGAGGCCGAGAACTCTGTTCCCAGGAGCAGGAACCAGTGGAGTCTGGGACCAACGGCATCTGCAGTCACCTGAGCTGCAACTCCCCGTGGCCTAGCCCGACTAAGGTGTCTCCCTGGACTGGCGGCCCAAAGTGGCTTAGGATGGACAGAGCTAGCAGCTTATGGGACTTGTTGAGACGACAGGCCAGCTGCCACTGACAGGGAAAGATGTGCTTGTAAAACCCTAATGTGGATGACCCCAAGGAAACGCTGTGCATAAAATGTGAAGAGGGCCTTTCCTAAGGGGGGGCGGTAAGGGCGTTGGGGTCTGATCTTCCAGCCTCCCTGCTTGGGTTAGGGATCTGCTTTCTGCTCACCCTTCCAGCCCGGTGCAAGTAAAAGCTTAATAAATGTTGGAATGTTTAATATTGACCTGACATATTTGCCATCCCATATTTTGTTTTCCACAAGCAGCAAATTGTGCATAAGGAGTTAGAGACACAGAGCATCAAAGGGACTCTCAAGCTAGTGACAGTCACTCTAGTCATTCTGATACATTCAGACATTTGTTACAATTTAAAACAGCTGGGAGTGTGGAGAGGAAAAGCCCATTTCACTCTAAGCCCCTCTACCCTGGTGACCTGATCTGGTGATGATGTACAAGTCTCCACCCTCTAACCCTCCAACCCTGTCCAGCTTCAACCTCCCTCGTCAGCATCCTCCACCTCCACCAAGCTCCCCAAGTCCTCTCTTCACCCCAGCTGAGTTAGTTTCCAGGGACCACTGTAACAAATGGCCACAAATTGGATGGCTAAAAACAACAGAAATGTAATCTCTCACTATCTGGTGAGAGACAGACCAGACCAGACATCTGAAATCTAGGTGTCACCAGGACTTTGCTCCCACAGGAAGCTCTAGGAGAGGACCCTCCCTTGCTCTTCAAGCTTCTGTGGCCCAAGTTGCTCCTGAGTCTGTGGCCACATCAGCACAATCTCTGCTCCATCTCCAAATGGCCTCCATCACCGTGTGTCTCCTCTGTCTCCTCTTCTGTGTCTCAGGAGGACACCTGTCATTGGGTTAGGGGCTACAGGTAATCCAGGATGAGCTCATCTTAACATCCTTCCCAGCCTTACATCTGCAAAGACCCTTTGGCCAAATAAGGCCCCACTCACAGGCTCTGGGGAATAACACATGGACACATCTTTCAGGGGGCTGCCACTCAGCCCACCACACCAGCTCCCAGAGCAAGCTTCATAGAAATACAGGCTCAATGAGCCCCACCCTGCCTAACACCCTTCAGGGCCCTTCGCCTTTAGGAGAAAGCCTGAGGCCTCTAACTGACATGCTAACCCTCATGCAGTCACCCTGTGCACCAGCCAGCTTCAGATCTTACTGCTTTGCCACCCCAGCAGTGCCTTGAGCAGCTCCCCTAAAGGTTATCATGTCCCAGCTCAAAATCTTTGCTCACACCCTGTGCGATAAAGGAGTTCCTTCCCTACATCCTTCTACCCAGCTTGCCTCATCTGTGTGTGCATTGGTGTGCTCATCCCCTGTGCTGCTGACATCTGCCATGCTTTAAGCACTCTGTTGCCACTGTCTGTCCTCAGGCTGTGAGTAGCTCCATCCTCTCCCAGGCCCAAGGCTGAACCCCTGGGCATCGTCCAGAATTCCCCTCTCCCTCAGCCCCATTGGTCGGGTCATGTCTCACAAACCACCAGGCAGTGCTCTGAGCCAGGCCAGCCGCACCTTATCATGACAGGTTCAAGTCCATGTTCCCTAAAGGTCCTATGGGCATTAGGGGATCAACTTGCTTCCCACTGGCCTTCTGCACACATCTGTGCACAGTGCACATCCCCGGGCATGCATGCTGACTTCGTCAGATGTACAAACACACACACCAACCCTCTTAATCACATAGCTTCGCTCCGGCACCCTCTGTGTTTGCCAGTTAAACAGCACAGAGCGAACTTCTCCTTCCCCAGGATCCTCTGTGGCGTGAAGAGTCTGGGCTCTGTGAGTAATAGCTGTAGTGAATGACTAGATGAACACATTAATTTTTAAAGCCCTGGGTCACAGGCCACTCTCCTGGCAGGCAGCCTGACAGTGGTTGATAAACGAATAATTCACTATCCACTAATTGGAGCCACAAAACCTGTAGGTGGCACCTCCTCACCCACTGACAAGCCTGTCACCATTGTCCCAAATATGGCATGCCCCTGTTCCTCCAGGCCCTTTCACCCCAGCTCAGACAGCTCCCTGAAGCCGAGGTCCAGCTCTCAACTGCAGGCCCAGTGCAGGGAAGCTGCACAGTGGAGGTGGTGAACACCACAGTCTGAAGAGCGATTGTGTAACGTTTGCCAGCACGTCCTCCTCTAATCCTCCCTGGCCACTGCATCAATGACATCATAGCCTCCTCTCACAATAACACTATTATTGAAGGAGTGAGTGACTCACTGCAAAGATGGGGCTCGCAAGCTGAAGCTCAACAGACAAGGCAGAGAAAGAGGAAAGGCTGTGCACGCAGGGCCATGTGACAGTCTGGGTGGTCTTCAGAAACCCTGGCCACTCTAGCCTCCTTCCTAGCAGCCTTTCCTCAGGAGCCATCACTTGAAGAACAGCCTGATTGCAGTCCTGAGTCCCGCCACTTGTCCTTGGAGCACCTCACTCGAGGTCATCCCTTCTTCCCCAGCCCTCCTCCTCCTGCCTCTGCCTGCCCAGAGCCTTTTCCCTCCCATCCTGGGCAACCCAGTAGTCTCCCTCTCTCTTCTCCTCCCTGCTGCCTTCTGCTCTGCCACTGCCATCTCTGAAGACACTTGTTGCCCCACCCCTACTCGCCCCTACCTGCCCACTCTGCTAACAGCAGGGAAGTCTTCCCTTCTCCAGTCCCCTTCTACCCCACAGCTGAGTGAGCTGAGAAGAAAGTCTGGGTGCTGGCTCCTGTAGGCAGAGGGGAATTCAAAGGCCTCACCCTAACTGGGAGAAGCCCCTGGCCCCTTTTCCGCACCTTTCAAACCATCTGTAGACAGCCTGGGAGGCCTGCCCTGCTTCCCCAAAAGGCCCCATTATGTGAGTAATGGGCACCATCAGTCTCAACAGCAAAGTCATATGTTGGGTAGGGTCCAGCTAGTGTCTGCAATGTGGACACAACCCATTCCTTCCTGCCCTGACTCTTCGCCCTGGTGGGTTCCATGGTCCTGCTGTCCTGGTGATTCTCTCATAAAGGGCCCAGAAGGAGTTCAAGTCTCTCCTGTGCTCCTGGTGGCTGCAAGGCTTATGCACAGCTGTGACTCCCCCAAACTTGCCAGTCCCCAGGCCAAGCCTTGCACATGTGCGCAGACTCACAATTCCCATCTCCACACCACCCATCCTGCCTGCATAGACCAGTGCTGGGAACACAGCGGTGAAGGGGAGCAGAGAGAGTCTCTCTGCAACAGCTTCCCATCCTCCCCACATGTGTCAGACAGGGCAACCTTCATAGAAAGCACAGTGTGGTCTGATTACAGCCCTTCCCACATACTGGCACCTTTACCTGGCCAGTCAGGGTTTGGTTTGCTGAAAGAAGGTGGAAATTCCTTATAGGTGGGGGCCTGGGGGGATGGTAAATTCTTGGTGACTCTGCTGCCTGGGATCATTTTCTTTTTCAGGGATTGGAGCCCCAGGGGACTCAGTAGACTGACAGCACTTAAACATAAGTGAGCTCAAAGGTGTGCCTGAGTTGGATGTAAGGAGAACTGAGAGCTGAGGATCCTCCAGCCATAGATATGCAAGCACAGAAACCAGGGCATCTCTGGGACCGTGAGGATGTTTTAGAATTAGGTTGTGGTGATGGTTGCACAAGTCTATGAATATACAAAAAGCCACTGAATTATACAGTTTGAATGGGTGGCTTTTGTGATGAGTGGATTATATCTTAATAAAGCTGTTATTTAAAAAAAATTACCGGGCAGCACCTGTGGCTCAGTGAGTAGGCCACTGAGGCCTACTCACTATAACCCATATACGGAGGGTGGCGGGTTCAAACCCGGCCCTGGCCAAACTGCAACAAAAAATACACAGGCGTTGTGACAGGCACCTATAGTCCCAACTACCCGGGAGGCTGAGGCAAGAGAATCACCTAAGCCCTTGAGCTGGAGGTTGCTGTGAGCTGTGACACTACAGCACTCTATAGAGGGCAACAAAGTGAGACTCTATCTCTAAAATAATAATAATAATAAATAAATTTAAAAAATAAAAAATTACCACGTACAATTGTGCCATCAAGAACAGTCTTCAGCTCGGTACGTGTGGCTCAAGTGGCTAAGGCGCCAGCCACATACACCCAAGGTGGCAGGTTCGAATCTGGCCCGGGTCCGCCAAACAACAATGATGGCTGCAACCAAAAAAAATAGCTGGGCATTGTGGCAGGCGCCTGTGGTCCCAGCTACTTGGGAGGCTGAGGCAGGAGACTCGCTTGAACCCAGGAGTTGGAGGTTGCTGTGAGCTGAGATGCCACAGCACTCTACCCAGGGGGACAGCTTGAGGCTTCTGTCTCCAAAAAAAAAAAGAACAAAGTCTTCCTGTGGGTGAAGGGAGTCTCACAAAGAGGGGCTGGAAGACTGGCCAGCAATGAACTTGCACAGAGCATCTGGGCTAGGACAGGCCAGACATTTGCAGCACCAGCAAGTTCTCTGAAGGGCCACGGTTCTATGGGGAACAATGAAGTCAAAGGACTGAGAAACCATGAGGGTGGCCATCCTGCACTGCAGAAAGGCCCAGAGAGTCTTGATGGCAAGGAGATAGTGCAG